TACCTTTACTATCTTAATCGAAATTGGGGATCGGCTGATTTGTGAGGTCCATTATCGTATCGAGACGAGAATTTACGACTCTCATTGACGCGTTATACTGCAAATACATCTCCCTGCGAATACGGTCGAACACTATTAACACTCCGGACACAATAATCACCATAATAGGCGCGGCCGCTATAATATCCTAATTCGGCAGGCAATGGAGCGATAAAACGGTTATTGTTAGCGATTGACAAATATGATAAGCTCGTGGTGTTCGTTCAATGTCTCGCAAGAAGAAAAACATGAACTATTGCTGTACAGTAATACATATATTGTGTGATAGTGTGTCTAATCTGAAATATTGTAGAAGTAAAGAAATCTATACTTCATTGTGATTATAGGATATCCTGTTTTATATTTTATTTATAATTCCATATAAGATTTTAGCTTTAATCCAAATCAACACTACTATATTGAATCAATAACATCGTACGTGATATGGGCGTACAAATGGTAAGAAGTTCCGTTGATCCCCGAAACGTGGAACACGAAAAAGCATTGCATGTTACGTCTATTGCTATTCTGTACCTCGTCCGTGACATAAGAAATACATTGATTTTTGTCGAGGTCGGCATTTCAGACGTTTCAGGACATAAGACGCGATAAAATATTTATTTTATTTATGGGTATTTTCCCATGTAACATCAGTGTTATTAACCTTCCTGTATAGGGGACATCGCATTGATGTTAGAAGTAATTAAATTTTGCGGTGCTGCCACAGATGAGGAATTGTTACATAGCCAATGAAAGCACCTAAAAATACATATTTAGACATAGAAAAATAAATAGATTAGATTTGAAATTATAAATATTTTCGGTGTGTCTTGAATGTTTAAATAAAAGCAGTAATAGCAAAATGTGATATAAGAATTGAGAAAGAATCGGTGCCCAAGATGTTGCGCAGGATATTACAGAAAAATACATGCAATGTTAAATACTTTTATTACACATATGCTGTAATCACTATTATATTTGTAATGTAGTTATAATATTTAGATAATATCCTTACTTCTCTATACAAAAATAATTACAATAATAATCGTTATTGGCATAGGCAAAATCGTTATTTATTGAAATTTATTGAGCACAATTATTTTTTTTTTTCTTATTTTACACAAGTAAACCTATATTAAAAGTCATTTAAAATTATAAGATCTTAATTATCTCTTATACACATACATACACACGTTTATAGATGCGTATGCTTGTATGTCGTGTATATTCATATTTAAATTCATTCTGTAATACCTACAACGCATTCTAATAATATATCAAAGTCTTTTATTACACTGGTAATATGAATTTTTGACAAAATACTGAATATTTGTTCTTCTCTCTTTCTTTTCTCTTCCACTGTTTGTCGCTTTCTTGCCATTTATTCTACTTCTGTCTTTCTTCTTTTGTTTACCACCATTATGTTCATTCGTTATCTCTATCTCGCATACGCGAACCATTCGATAGCATTAAAGAACATTCGAAAGTGTCAATTTTTGTTCACATGCGCTTATTCAAGAACCCTGATCAATTCGTGATTATTAAGAAAATTTCGCTGGTAAACAGTTCATTTTACCGCCGGTCAGAGGAGTCAAACATGTTCGTTTTTCAAACACGTATGTCTATTAAACGAATATCGGCTTAATCATAGTTTGAACCCGTGGCGGCGACCGTTTCTTTATTTTACATTATTATTCACACGCTATCTCGAAAAGAAGTTACGCAGAGATGAAGATTAAACAGCGCGTGTAACCGTATAATATTCGTAAACGTATCTGACCTTGTTTAACACTCCTGGCCAGATTATTCGATTTATATAAAAATGGTATAAAATTCGTATTGTGAATCGAGCTTACGATATAATCCAAAATCGATCGAATGGAAGAAAATGTTTAATTGGATATTAAGGACATAATAGATGCAAAGTGTCATTGACTAAAATAATGGTAATAGTAGAACGCTAATGATTATAACACTACATTTATCGATAGTCGTTTGCGAGAAACGCGAGCTGTGAAAAACATTTCAATTCGGCTTCCTACGTTAAAAAATTGTGTTTCTTTTTCGAACTTGAATCGTCAACCTATAAAGAAACGTATAGTATGTGGTAATGGAATGTTTTCTCTGTGTCGTTCACAACAATTTTTGTGATAGCAGCGTAATCACAGCGTAATAAAATAAAATTCGCGCATAAAATTAGCGTAATAAAATGGTTCATTTAATTATAAAAGACAGAAACGCGAAGCACAACATATTGCTTCGAGTAAAATGAGCTTCAATTAAAGTCCGTGGGCACAAGATTATTAACTATTGCATATATTATCCAGATATGCAATAACTTGGAATCACTTTGGTGCGTCACGTTTTCAATTGCAATTATATGGCACGTACTACATAATATAAACTTTACACACTTTGTTCCTTCTTCTTCCTTTTTCTATTCTCAGTCTTCTAAACACGTATCCCTAGAAAACTCAACAAAACGTTCGAGAATTTTATTCCCGTTATGCTTTACCACTCTTTCTCCTTTCACATATGCATACCCTCCTCCGGTAATTCATCTAAAATGTAGGGTGATCATATCTCACGTTTTACATATATATATATATATACTCCTAAGCAGGTTAAAATATAATACTACCATAATACATAGTAAATATAAAATAAAAGTAGATATTTGTTTAAAAATATAAATCATTGAAAATACTTTCGTGCGAAATTAGCACGAAAAGTAAATAGAAACTTAATATATGAAATTAATACAAAAATATAAAATTGATATAAAGCTAATACATATATCTTTATAAAATTAAGACTTAATATTAATATATCGATATAAAATATTATTAATATTAATGTTTAAACAGCAGAAATCGAATTAATATCTAATAACGGTAATTTAATTTATCTTCAACACATACTTTGTTATTAAAAACTGGTACTTTGGTTGTGATAGAGTTTGTATACATAAAATTCTAATGATCTTAAAGGAAATGAAAAAGAGTCCTCGGTATCCCTTCTATATCTTCATCTTACTTCTCTTTCCATTTAATGTAAGGATACGATCACCTTACCATATAACGTTCTCTAAATTAAACATTCTCTAAATTAGGCTAATTAAAGATTAGTACGTAAGTAGCGGGTAATTATTACATTTAAGAAAAAAAGAAACATTTCTTCCCATTAAGGACGGTTAAAGCTTCGAAAATGAGCAACGATCGAATATACAGAATGAGTCTAATATAATCAACAGATGCGTATATTATATCACTTGAAAAATCTTCAAATTTCTGTATCTCTCTTTTCCATCTTTAAATTCTAATCATGATTACATAACATCGTTATAATAACACCGCATTTATCTAAATCTGTACACGGAAATTTTCGCATTGTTTATGTCCAACAATAAATAATTAAGCTGCGAAAAAACACCTCGATACGTCTTAACTTTCGACGAATGCTTAATATATGTATATATGTCATCATCATCATCGACATCATCATCATGATCATCTAGATCATCTAGATCATCATGGGCATCAACACCGTCATCATCGTCATAATTATCATCATCACCACCACCACCACCACCACCACCACCACCACCACCATCATCATCATCATCATCATCATCATCATCATCATCATCATCATCATCATCATCATCATCATCATCATCATCATCATCATCATCATCATCATCATCATCATCATCATCATCATCATCATCATCATCATCATCATCATCATCATCATCATCATCATCATCATCATCATCATCATCATCATCATCATCATCATCATCATCATCATCATCATCATCATCATCATCATCATCATCATCATCATCATCATCATCATCATCATCAACATCATCATCATCATCATCATCATCATCATCATCATCATCAACGTCATCATCATCATCACCATCAGCATCACCATCACCATCGCCATCATCATCATCGACATCATCGTCATCATCATCCCCGGCATCATCATCATTATCATCGTCGTCATCATCGTCATCATCACCATCATCGTCATCGGCATCATCATCATCATCGTCATCTTCACCATCATCTTCATCATCATCATTATCATCATCGTAGTTCTACCGCATTTCTACTCTGAGAAAATGCTAAACGGAAAAAAGAAAAAGGAAAAAAGGACAATTGAATGTTCATCGTTTTGATTGTAGTACTTCGTTCATGGCATCGCAAACGACAACGCGTTATACTTACGAATTAAATCGAAGTGTACAATAAAAGAAAACTTGAGATGGGACAAAATTTCATTTTGAGATTCGCAAGATTAGAATCTAAAGACTTCGCGAAGTCTTGGAACTCTTGGAACTCGGAAATCTCATTTCGCTTCGTTTTCTTCTCTAGTAAGAAATATCTATTTTGTCAGGGATTAAAATGTTAACAAAGAAACCAACAAATTAAGTTTTTAATAATTTGTAATGAAACGATTTTAAAGTCTAAAAAACACACACTTAATTGGATTATTATTGGTTAGATATAAATAAATTTATATCGTTTTATTCATAATTAATGTTTTCGTAAGTTATTTATATGAATTATTCAGAGCTTCGAATCATAAAAGTTGCTGAAATTTCTGAATTTCGAGAACATAACATTTTTTTTAATTTTCTTAAACTTGACATTTTGCGAGATTTTTCAAATCTTTGATGCCTTTATGCTTTCTTTTGTTTCTTTTACGGACGGTTCAATAGGGCCCGCCAATTTCACGCTCTTCGATCATTAGAACCATTACTGCCGATCGCTGCGCCGTCTGTTGTTTTACCCGCCAAACAGAATATTATTCGAAAGATGTATCGAGAATCACGATATTCCGATGATATATCGAAAAATCGTGATCGTTCTCGCTCGATTTACATAACAACTCTATCACAAATCATTCGGAAAGCATATATAATATATTCGTACTATACTTCACGCAAACATTTGTATATGTGTATGTTTTTTTTCCTTTGTTAAATTACTTTCATCTTTCATCGTTCATAGTTTAATAAATACCTTCTGTAACATATGTACGAGAAAGTTTAACAATAATACATATCGTACACGTTCCACGCAAACGAGCTACGCGGAACGTCGTCTCCTCGATTTTTTCTTTTGGTTTCTTTTTCTTATTTCTCTTATTAAAGAGGTTAACTTATCTTTCTTTTTTATAATTAAAGAGCGCGTCGAGAAACGTGTATAAGAGCGGAATGTTGCTTTGATCGTGTTTTAGAATCATGTCGTTGGTGCGTTTGAAGCTGGCGGCGTGTCGGTACGCCATATTGAGGTACCAGATTGGGTGATCGTGGTGATCTGTGAACAAAATCATTCATTCATTAAATCTTAATTTAAGTAAATTTTCAATTCAAGTAAATTTTACAAACTGCAGTTTTAATTTATTTAAAAATTAAGTGATTAAATTCTACAGATTCGTTCCTCTTATAGGATTATATCGTCGATATGCAGAAGAAGTGTCTTGTCATCAACAGAAGAAGGTTTTAATGGTGACTGTCTTAAATGAAAATATTGAAATTTATGAGGACTATGTTTTTTCAGAATGAAACATTTTAATTCAAGGAAACATTCACAGTGACTCACAGAAGTATCTAAAGATTTATTATAGAAAGCTTTTGTAAATACAATATTATGTGTGTTATATCAGACTGTTTGAAATTTTATTAGATAAGGAGATACGATTATTGTTAGACTACGGATATTTATGCAAATTTTTACGAGCGTAACTAAAGAAGTCGTAACAAAGCTAAGAGAGGGTAAATTAAGTAATAATAAGTCAATTAAGTTAAAGTTAAATATGTATTATAACGGGTAACGTATTTTTGATACTTTATATTAGTTTTATATAGTTTTTTATATAGTTTTTATATAGTTTTATATAATTTTATATATTAGTTTCATTTATTATAACGTGATTATATTTAGACCGCAAACGTTTTTACATATAAATGGAATCTAAATAAAAATTTGTTTCATTCCTTAAATAGTAGAAGGAGTACTTTGTTTTAGATACTTTTTATATTTTTGTATAGTAAGTACATTTTGTGTAGTTTTGTATATTTGAATTTTCCATAAATGCGTAAAAATCCGCACTCTAGTTATAGATTGAAATTATTCCGAAAATGTGTATGATTATTTTCCAATTCGATCGACTATACTTGATTTTAAACTTATTATATAATTACCAATTGTAGACTTTTATTCTAATGAGCCTCCAATTTTTATTATCAATGCAATATTAACAAATTATGGAAGAGTCACAAGTGATTGCATCGAATCGTACTCATTTTCAGAAACAAATGGTAGGATAGGTCTATTAATCGTCGTCACCTTATTGTCATGTCCGATTAATGGAGTTTCTACCGTGGTCTCGTCGTTGGTGCGACTCATGTACGGATGTGGGGGTGGTACATAAATCGGCTTAGAATGACTGGCGACTTGCGCGTAAATCGTTGGTTCCTGGATTGGTTGCCTACGCGTCAGAGTCGACATGGCTAGCAGTTGAGGCCGCTGAATATTGGATACTTGTACTGGCTGATAACAATTAGGAGGTATTCGTCGGTTACGGAGCGACAGCTCGGCGTACGTTAGCTCTGATCCCTGCAAAACCAGAGCGATAGCTCATTATCGATTATGCTAATTCACAGATAGATAGAATAGAGTAGTAGTATAACTAAATGATTATAACAATAAGAAATTTGATCTTTTAAGCATTGCATCTATTTATTGACATTTCTAGCGAAAGAATTTAAGGGAAACTTTAACAAGGAGATGTTATTTCATGTCCCATACATTACGGTTACAAAAAATTCCTATTCCTATAGTATTTTAACCATGTTAACTTGTTCGAGTTATTTTCATAATTTCTTAAATTTAAGGAAAATATAAAAGAATCATGCGTATTTTATTATTTAAACATTGTACTATAGTTATCGTTAAAATATTAGGAGTCTTCTTATTTGTTGAAATTAAAGAAAGATTAAGATATAAAAAATTATAAAATGAGTGATATATTATTCTCATGATTTTTTAATCAAGTAAAAGATTTTGCTTTATTTTGGCACAAAGTTGAAACTAACAGATATGAAAACATTAGTTATTGAAGTTTCTTAATTCAAATCTCAAAATATTCGATGTTAGTTTTTTGTTTATGTGGTATGTATTACGTACATGTATAGGTAAATGCATCTAGTGTTATATTTCAATTGATGAAATTCGTACTCACATTGCTTGTGTTAGTAAAAGTACTTGCATCCGTTCGTTGCTGGTGTAACACATATCTTGGTGAAGTGCCCTTGCACAGCTCGGCGTAAGAATTTTCTGTGGCAATATAGAGTTCAAGATGATTGTTAATGCACTGAGGGTAATAGCTCTTTGCTGTATCGTCAAAGCAATTGGTTTTTAATTGTTCAATCCTATTGAGTTCTTAATGAAACGACACTCGAATTTTTGCACATTTGTATTGATCAATTAAACAAACTCATTAAACGCATAAACTCATTAAACAAATAATGGGTATAAAATTAGATCTAGTATAAAACTATGTCTAGTTAACCCTGAAATCAATTATTAATTCATAACCATTAAATTTTCGTAACATTTTTACATCGTTAATTTGCAGTAGAAGATTATAGTATTTCTCATTTTATAATATTTTCATTTGTATCTTTGTATGTATCCAAAATAAATTGTCTCGTGGATATATGGCATCCCATCTTATAGTGTACTTCTTCGCTAGTTAGAATCTAGTCATTCTTTCAGTAGAAAGAATGTGTATAATAATTCTCATTTCCTTTTTAGGTTTCAGGGAACATCACCTGTCATACAATTTTAGTAACCATATAGATATTATAATCGAAGAATCAAATGGTTGGAAGTTCCTCAATGTGCTAACCGATAATCACATACATCATCAACTTTGGTTAAAATACAGCGCTTATTAAATTACCTACCATTAGCATGAGGAATTATATCGGGGTCCTTCTCGAAGCTCTCGATGCTGTCAGAGTTGAGAGGCAGAGTCGACGATTTATCACGTGGAGAGGAACTGCCGGTTCCGGACGCGGCTAGATTCGCCATGCCGCCGTCGTCGTGAGAATCCTTGTCCTCCTGAGTCCTTGGTCGATACCGTAATCTCACAGCCAAAACTATCACAAAGATCACGAGTAGAAGGCCCGCCGCTGCTCCGACCACCGCACCGAGCAATGGTCCAGACAGCGACAGCATCACCGGTGTCAGAGCTGGAAATCATGGTAAGTACCATCAGTCTTCCTACTCTCTTCCTTTTCTTCGCGGGATCTCATTGTTCGGGGGACGAAAGGATTGCTTCTTGAGACACTCATAAATGTCTCTCCTCGCGATTACAACCGTTGAAAATGAAATTTTTCCATTATTGTTGTCGTGGATACGATTTTATGGATTTTTAGGATCATTTATGAAATACACGTTTTTCGTGATTGGTGATGGAATCCGACTCAACGATGATCTGTCACACGAATTTAGAAACTTATTGTCATTGAACTTTATTGATGACTATTTTATTCAGAATAAAATCTCATAAAAAATTGAGATATTTACTTCGAACTGGGAATGAAATAATTTCATTGAAGATTTTATTAGAAGTTCTCATTTTATAAAATTTTATTTATCGTAGCAATATAATCATTAAAAAAATGATTTAGCTATTGATATATCTGAGATTTAATTCTTCTAATTACAAGTCTATGACTAACCGCTTTTAATTTTAAATGTAATCGAGTTGGAAGGGTTAGATGAATTGGAAAGAGAATTAGTATCTAAACAGAAGACTAATTGATTATCTGGGTAATAAATGAGAACAAGAAGCAATGGAGTAAGATTGATTCCAGTTAGATTAGTAGAATAAAGATGTCACTGGAATAGATCTCCTTGGTTAAGTAGAGAGCTAGATCTGGTCAGACAAGTAGTACAGACACATTATAGTCAGAAGAATGGTGAAATCGTCTAAAGCTGTACTTATTTAGCAAATAGCTTGTGTAGCTTTTCATACGATTTTCATATACGCATACATATCTATATTCTTTCCTCCGAAACTATTATTCGCGTTCCTTTTTTTGGATTTGGATATAGTGAAATTCGAGCACTCTGGAGATCAGTTTCTTCGGTTGTTTAATATCTTTTTTGTGTATGAAACTTCGTTTATGACATTAATATTATCGGAGAACAGTGTACCGTTCCTTTATTCTGGTAAAGAATAGTTAGTGTTAGAGAAGATTTATTATAGTTACTATACACACGTTATAATAACAGAGTGATAAAATTTTAGCTGTATACAAAAATACTATTCTGATTCGTTTCACAACAAAACTACATGTTGAGAAATCGAATTGTTATATTGTAAAATAAAAAATGGTTGGCGTAAAAAATGCAAAAAAGGTCATTGAAGCGTCATCGTGATTCACTTGTGCGTGTAATTTCGAGTTTCGATTTGATTTATGTTCTCCCTTCGCATTCCAGTTAATAATGGACTAATATCTTTATAATAAACGAGTACTGGAATGATTAACCATGGTCCAATGGATTTCGTATTTAGCCATCGACAATTGTATAAATAAAATATCATCGCAGGGCTGATCGTCGTTCTTGATCGCGACGATAATACTCCTGTTTTCAGTCTAAAATAAGCAAAACCGTTAGCGTACAAATATTTCACACTGGGATCGCGTTATATATTTTTGGATTGCGCGTATGGTCATGTTTTAATGTATTTCAGGAATTCTGTTCTACTTCCTTCGAATACAAAATATTTGAAATAGACATTCCATGTAAACATTCCATTCCTACGTAATAGTGTTTCTTATCTAATATTCTTTGTTAAGAAAGTATCGTAACGAATGCTGCTACTGATATCTAGATTATGAAATCCAAAGATAAAGTTATTATCGTAACATCAAGGCTTTTAAAATCAATCTAGAATATGTATTCTCGGAAAGGTACAAAGATCTATGAACAACAATCGTGTTAAAATATTTGTTGAGATTTCATTAGACGAATTTTCTACTAAATTAAAAATTTCATTAAGATTTCAATATACAAGAAATATGCTAACGAATCCGACAATATACAGGCTGATTCACTGATTAATCATAATCAATTAAGTAGATTCAGTGCTGACGATATACGTTTTAAAAACTAATTTAGTACCTTGTCCAACATCATCACAATGTTCGTTATGGCAGTGAAAAGAAGCTGTGCGTCATCTAAGCCTGTTCCACACTACATTAGAATTACCGTAGCAAGACTTCACGATTCGCATGCAATGACAACGGCCTTCTTGCACGATAATTTATAAACTAATAATATTAACGAACATACAAATGACAAGTTGTAAACTACATGCTCTTATCGCATAAATAGTTTTAAATATATTCGATTTTAACAAAGAAAAATAGGCTCCCCCTATTTCAGAACTTTAACAATTTTATTACCAAATTTATTTGCACCGTTTTATTATTTCTGCATATTATTTATTGTGCGCTATTATTGGCACTAATTGATATCGATAATTTACAACTTGTGGTTTTGTACAATTTCATTGATAATATTAATTAAACTGTCAGAGGGCCAAGGTATCTACAGAGAGGCAGGTGAAACACAGATCTACGATGAGAAGCGAAAGCTCGGCACGTTGCAAGCAGAGAATATCTCATATCTATTTCTCGTGATAGTGGTATGCCGTTCAACACCTATTTCTCTACTGTTCTTTCCACGAGTCACCGTGTGCTCCAATTTCCTTTACATTCTATTACTCCATGAATTAGCCTTTTTACTCTATTATAGAGGAAAACGAAAGTTTTATTTTTTATTTAGAAAATCGTCACCTTTATGACTGACACTCTTTGTGAGCAGTTTCCTAGCTGATAGAGCATGAGAGCTTTATAGATTGTTCTGAAGTTGGTACTCTTGAGAATCACAGATAAAACGCAGATAATATACTTATTGTTAATAACCTAATAATATAGCTGAATTGAGTAGCATTATATGAACCGTTCAGAAGCCACACTGGTGCATTTCATAAATTGAAAAGTATGAGAAAACGATGATGTCATATACGAACACTGTTTTCTAATGTCTTGAAATATAATCATTATCTGTATCAGCTTCTTGCGATAAATGAACTTATTGAAGCGAAAATATTTCTTTTGATAGTTGAATGTTAATCGTGTATTAATAAAATCGTAAACTAATGAAAAAGTGGAGTACTGATCAGTTTGGCTTCTATGAGGTTCATATAAAACGATACATAAGAGAAATTACACGACAATTCTATCGAACAAGAACAGAGGAGACAAGCTTGAAATTTTTTCCTGCAACGTCTCCAAAGGGAAGAAGCCCACAGAAATTGTTCTCCAGAAAAACTCCTCTGTTTCCGCAGTGGAAATCGTTTCCCCTCGAACAACAACACCAATTTTCAAGACAATAGGATGGAAGGACGAAAATGGACCATTCAGTGCACCGCTACCTCGACAAATGAATGAACGAAACGCGTCAAATAAATGATGACGTTCTAAAAGTACGGACAGATTTCCACCAAGTTTTCGGGGCACAGTCGAAACAGAAAGAGATAGACATCATAATACGACAGAAAGCGATAGTCATTATGCTACGAAAGAAAGAGATAGACATTATAGTACGAAAGAATGAGAAAAGGCTCGTGACACGTTCGTGACAGGGTCATAAAAATGTACGCTTTCGGGATTGCGATCGTAAAGGCACTTCCGCTTCAACCCTTTCCCATGGTGTTGTCACTTTTTGAAACTTTTCAAATGGTAAGTCGACTTCCATCGTGCGAATCCCAATCGACATTTTGACTAAATTTTCTTCCCTCTTTTCCCCTTTCTCCTATTTTTCTTTTTATCGTCTTCTTTTCGTCCTTTTTTGACAGACAGTTCATTTCTATTGGCACTTTGCTTTGGTATTTTTAAAATTTTGCTCTTAAAATTCTATTTGCTTTATTGCGATATTTGTTATACGAAAGAATTTAGTAATCTTCCGAACTTATAACTTGCGACTTGCAAAGTTTCATTAATAATTTTAGTTGATTTGTGCAAGAGAGGCTCGAATAAGTAGAAGATAGTCATAAACAAGAATGTTATAATAAATATAAATTATATTATAAATATATTAGAGATTAATTAATAGAAATTTCAATTTAAATAATTGGCTCTTTAAAAATAAAGACATGAAAGAAACATGCATTCAGCAGTGAATATAAAGATTAATTAAGATTTTAGAATTGAAATACAAAATTCGAATATCGTTTAGAAGTCATTGATAGTTAAATATAGAAAATTCTTTACTCGGATAATAAAAGGGAAGAAATGCATGAGTTTCAGAAAGGTGATCATGAAAGAAATTTGGAATAATTAGGGATCTTAAACGTGAAAATCCGTCACTCAATTATTTTAATTTTTCCTATTCTTCTTTCTACTTTTTGTCATTTCGTTTTTTTTCCTTTTTTGGGAGGTGGATTATTTTCTCTGTCGCTTCAGTTTCGTTTTGCGTTCTACGGAATATATTGAGAGATAGTGACGTTAATAGCGGCCGATTGGAAACGTCGATTTCGTTTCGACGCCAACTGCCTCCAGCGAATTAACCGATCCAGCTAATTTCGGATTAATCGATTATATCTGTACGCCGATGTAACACTGCCACGTCCGCTCGTGTTCGTGTCTATGCCATGCGGTCCTCAGTTGATCGAGTTGATCCATGTAAGTGGACGTCCAACCGCCAATTAGCCGATTCAGTTTATTCCGGATCGATCGTCGCGTTAACGTTCGAAATGGATCGGAAGATAGACGAAATTGAGTTTTCTCTTTTTTCTTTTCCAATTTTTCATTGAATAACCAATGAAATTTTGAAATATGTAACAAATACTTTATTAGATTATTATTACTAAACTACGTGTATTTACGTAAATTTATATTTTTATGGATATAGTTAAAAAAAATACATTGTTTGAATTTTTCATTTTTGAATTTTATTCACAGTCTAGTTGTTCCGTATGGAATGTCCGATTAGCGATTCATACCTCACTCGATCTAAAAAATTATGCGTTTACGTACAAAAAAGCGAAGGAGTTGAAACCATACACGACAGAGGAAATTCTCAATTTTAGAAAAGTATATTTAATTCTGTAAATTGAAAATTACGAAAAAGCGATGCTGTTACGAACTCTGTTTTCTTGCCTCAGAATTCACCA